ATATTTTATCGATCTTTAAAATATGTTCTTTTATAAAATTTATTTTTTAAATTTTCTCACACTATCACCGACTCTCTTTACCTTTAGTTTCACAAGAATCTACTATTAATTCATCGTATTCCAAATAATATTAATATTATTATCATCTAAGTTTTAAGTCGTCTTCATTTTTATCTTATTCCTAAAAGTACTTACATTATCATCTTTAATATTTCATCATTGTAATTCTTCTATTTTTTACTATATGTATATATATTATCATCAATCTATATTAATTCATCAAACTTCCATCATGTATAATTTTATAATTTTTATAAATAAATTTCCAAAAATAATTTACCAAGTTACATTCGAAATTAAAAAAAGTTAATCGAATTACATTCGATAAAAAAAAATCTAAAAAAATCTTTAATTTTAATTAGATATAATTCGTATACTTTTTTTTATTATTTATAAAAAATACTCTCAAGTAAAAAAAAATTTGGAGAAATCATTCGATAACAAATCAATAAAATGCCCCCCCTTTTTTTAACAAATCAATAAATTGGAACGAAGATTTGAGTATTTTTTTATTTTATTTTATTTTATTTGTATTTAAAGCCACACCGACTATAACATTTATTACAAGTTTGATTTAAAAAATTCCGAACTCGATTTTAATAATCATTATTTTACGCACCCTCTGACGTCATAGATGCCGAGATCGTTGACTTTCTTTAAAGATCGACAATCACGATATTACCCTTCTATCTCTCCCGTGACCTGCCATAATCTGACGACTACCTCATCCCCACCCGCCCGAAATCCCCATACCACCCCTTCGTTCCTCCCGCGAAGAGAGAGGTAAAAGATGTAAATGTTTGTGAGTGTGTCTTGGAGTTCCAGTTATACCCCTATCGTTGGTGCGGTCCGGAGCCGCGCTACGCTTTCCGCCCCCATCCTTTCCTTTGTTTCCACGGCGAGGAAATTAGGACGCGGCATTAATCTAATCCCCGCACGCATCTCCATTTCGAGACAACCTACATCGACGCGGCGAAGTCAATCGGAGAGAAGGAAAAGATTACGAGATCCCAGAGACAGCTCCACCTCCGCCCCCAGAGAGGAACCCTAAAAGATAATCGACCGTGGAATCCGATACCAGAGGGCGGCCCTTCTAACCTCGCCCCCCGCCATGACATCCCCCTTCGCCTTCCTCTCCTTCCGCCGGCGGCGATCGCCCCTCTCCGGCGCATACTTCGTCCCCGGTGACCTCTCGAGCGCCGCCCTCTTCCACGCCCTCGCCGCCCTCTCCGCCGACGTCGCCCGACACTCTTCCTTGTCCCAGTGCCGCAACGCCAGGTCCCTCGTCCGCAGGATCCGGATCCTCGCTGTCCTCTTCGAGTTCCTCGAGGAATCCTTCGCCTCTTCCCCTTCCTCCCCTCTCCCGCCGTGGTTCCCCGCCTCGGCGGCCCTTTGCTTCCGGGAGCTCTACATCTTCGTCTATCGGACCAAGCTCCTCCTCGACTACTGCTCCCAGTCGAGCCGGCTCTGGCTGCTGTTGAGGAACCCCCAGATCTCGGGCAATTTCCACGACCTCACCCAGGAGCTGGCCACGGTGCTAGACGTCCTCCCTCTCGACGATCTCCGCCTCGCCGCCGACGTGCGCGAGCAGATCGAGCTTCTCCGGCGGGAGTGCAGGCGATCCAAGCTCTTCGTCGACCCTGATGACGAGGAGCTCTGCCGCAAGATCTTCTTTTTCTTGGGTCAGTTCGAGACCGGCGAGGCTCCGGATCCTGCGGAGCTTCGGGACACGTTCGTCCACCGTCTGGGGATCCGCGATGTTCGGGCCTGCCGGACGGAGATCGAATTCTTGGAGGGGCAGATCTCTAATCAGGAGGAAGACATGGATCTGCCTCTCGTCAGTGGAGTCATCGCGCTCACCCGGTATTGTAGGTTCTTGCTGTTTGGGTTCCAAGAAATGGATGCCAAGAAGCCTTTCAGCGATCAGGGTAAGACATCGAGGAAGCGATTGTTGAGTCAGGGGAGCGGTAGTTTCTCCTTGACGATCCCCAAGGACTTCTGCTGCCCGATTTCACTCGATCTGATGAAAGATCCGGTGGTCGTCTCCACAGGTCAGACTTACGATCGTGCATCCATCACCCAGTGGATGGAAGAAGGGCATCGCACTTGCCCTAATTCGGGACTGACCCTTACAAACAGCCGTCTCGTGCCAAACAGAGCTCTGGCAAGCTTGATTTCCCAGTGGTGTGCCTCCTATGGAATCCCATATGGAACCCCTGAGGGCGCCGGCATTCCAGCTGAGAGCACTGCAGCAGCATGTGCCAGCAGAGCAGCAATCGAAGCAAACAGAGCCACGTCAAGAATCTTAGTGCAGCAGCTATCAGCTGGTTCACAGGAATCAAAGACCGTCGCTGCCTGTGAGCTCAGGTTGCTCGCAAAGACTGGCAAGGAGAACAGGTCTTTCATTGCAGAGGCAGGGGCAATCCCTGCTCTCTGCCGGCTCTTACGTTCTTCGAATCCGGTTGCTCAAGAGAATGCGGTGACCGCAATATTGAACATATCCATTCACGATGGTAACAAGAGCCGGATCATGGATGAGGAAGGATGCTTGAAATTGATTGTTTATGTTTTGAGGCACGGATTGACCAATGAGGCAAGGGAGAATGCGGCAGCCACACTGTTCAGCCTGTCTGCTGTTCATGACTTCAAGAAAATGATTGTTGATGAGCAGGGTGTTGTGCCAGCATTGGCCAATTTGCTGATGCAGGGAAGCTCGAGAGGGAAGAAAGATGCAGTGATGGCCTTGTTCAATCTTTCAACTCACCCGCAAAGCTGGTCTCGGATGTTGGATATGGGTGCAGTTTCAGCGTTGGTGGGGGCACTGAGAGATGAATGTGTGGCGGAAGAGGCTGCCGGTGCTCTGGCATTGCTCATGAGACACCCCATTTTGGCACAGACAGTTGGGAGTGAGGACACTGCGATTACGAATCTGGTGGGTCTAATGAGGAGGGGAACCCCGAAGGGAAAGGAAAATGCAGTTGCAGCATTGCAGGAGATGTGTCGACGTAGTGGTTTACCTGTGACACAGAAGGTAGCAAGGATGCAGGTGTTGGGTGGGTTGATCCAAACCATCTTGTTAACCGGGACAAAGAGGGCTAGAAGAAAGGCTGCATTACTTGCTAGGATGTGCCAGAGATGCGAGGGACCGATAGCAACGACACTTGGAAACGAATGGGCTATGAATCATGCATTAGCGAGAACCAACTCCTTAAGGGATTCGAGTTTCCGAAGTGGGGATGTATCTGTCTCAGTATCCATGGCAAGACAAGTACCTGTGCTATAGCCTTCGTGTTCATTTTGCAGTCGCCGTGTACATCACTCTTGGTAAGTTGGTGGGAGATTCTTTTATTGATGCTGGAGTGAGCGAAATTGTTGGTAAAAGCTGAACCAATACTGTTTTAAATGAAACATGCCCTGTGAATAATGGTGCAACTTCTTACATGTTTAGGTTATGTAATCATTCGATACACCCTTATAAGGATTGGAATGCTTAGTCTACCTACCTAAGCAGCTACCAAGTGATGGAAGCTAAATCATGTTTTTTGGTTCAGATTGTCTCAACTTTGTTATCTTAAATCTCACAGTTAATTGGTACGGGATTTTGTTTGCTCTTTAGCCTAGCAGATATTTTTGCTAGTCATTTATACATACTAGGCATTTGAGGAGCTGAAATCTGATGCTGGAAAGTAATATATATGCATAAGAGCATTTTACATTAAAGATGTGTTGAATCCAGTGTTATAATACCGCCCTACCATGCCAGCAGTGGATAAGTTGGATTGTTTAGATTGCTAAATTCTATGTATTTGGTTACCACCTTTTAAGTCTTTTTTTTTATGAGAAAATATTGTTCTGTAGATTCTTAAATGCAAAATCCAGGCAATGTCAGTGTGCTATATAACCAAAGATGTTGTTTCTGATACTAGGATCATACACATCCAGGATTAAGGGGGAAAGGGCGGAAGTATGGTTTTCCATTGCCATTTATTTTTGTGATGCCATATCCAGTGTGAATCTTGATCTCTACCATGAAATCTGTTATTGATCTTGGAAGTCGAAAGGTTTATTTTTCTGACGCCATATCCAGTGTGTGAATCTTGATCTCCACCCTGAAACCTGTAACTGATCTTGGAAGTTAAACGTCTTTGTTTTCTTGGCTTCATGTTGATTGATGTTGCTGCTTTGGTAAATTATATGACACATACACAAAGTAGGACGGATGGCTCTGAGCAATTGGTTGCTTCACGTCTAAACTAAACACTTATGTTCATGTTGGATTTGGACTCCCCAGGTTGCGTGTTCTATTTACTGTTTTCTTTGCTTGGACTTGATTCAGACTTGGATTGTGGATGGAACTGACTTAAATCCGATCTCATGTGTTGAGAATTACAAGAAGGATTTGTCAGCTCCTATACAACTGTTGGGATCGCGAACAATTGTGGCTCGTAAGGATCGAAACACTAAAAATAATTAATTATAAGGGTGATATATAATTAGTCTATTTTTATCTATCAGGTTTGGATGAGAATAAGAGTTTAAAGGGTGTTGCATTATAATAGCATTCATAGGTCACGAGGGATTTTTAACCCATGTAGAAGCTGGTGGCTATCAACAACTATAATGATGATTCAATCAAATGATGATTCATCCGAATTAAAATTTAATCATGATATCTATTTTTTTTATCTGAATAAGTCCCAAGAATAATTAAAATTTTCAAATTCTATTTAAGCAAAGCAGTGTAATATACGTAAATATATTACAAACTCCTAAAATAAATATGAAAATAATAAACATTTTTTTCTTATTAGAGTCTTGATAGAGACATTTCATACTTTTCTTATCTTATTACTCGTCTAATTCATATATATATATATATATATATATATATATATATATATATATATATATATATATGGTGGCAGTGAATCCCTTCGAAACCGGCGTTGACCGGCCATGCACACCGCAAGATACAGCGAACCATCGCCAATCTTTGTACCCTCAACGAACGGGCGTGCCCTCCAAGTGTTCGACGCCCCGCCTCAGTCGCCACTTCCATGCAGAAGCTCGCCCCACGTCTTCCCTCCATAACTTACTACCCCAACTCCCCCTCCCTTTCCCTTTCTTCATTCATCTCGTCCACTTCCTCCGTAGGAAGGGAAGGGACCAACCCAGCAGACGCCATCTCGAGACGCTCCCCGTTCTTGAACCGGCATCGACACTTGTGCCGCGCATGGCTTTCCGCCTCGCCTTCCTGCTGCTCGTCCTGGCCACGGCCTCGGTGGCCGGGACGTGGGCGATGGGCCCCATCGACACCGAGGTCTCGTGGAAGCTCGCCCGCTTCGCCAGCGCCGAAGACGGGCTGGGGGACGCCGCGCCCGCATGTGACGGGCTCGTGGGTGAGTGCCTCGACGAGGACAACGAGCTGGACATGGAGGCGGAGGACCCCCGTCGCTTCCTGTCCCCCGCTCACGGCCGGCAAAGGTTCATCAGCTACGGCGCCCTCTCTCGCAACCGTGTCCCCTGCAACCGCCGTGGCCATTCCTACTACAACTGCAGAAGGAGCGGGCGAGCGAACCCTTACCGCCGCGGCTGCAGCGTCATTACCAGGTGCGCCAGGATTCTCGATTAAGCTACGGGGTCGAGGTAAGTAAGTGGCGGAGAGAAAGAGAGTGATACTGTCGGTGATGAGCTGCTTCTTTCCTCCATACTGCACGGCCTGCCTTGGCTTCCCTCCTATGTTACTGTCGCCAAATATGTTTCTTCATGTACTTTGATGTGATTGCAACAAGGGGATCGTATTATTATGGTACTCATCGATTTCTATCTTTGCACGAACTCATTCAATATATATATATATATATATATATATATATATATATATAGAGGACTAGTGGGATACCTGTAGTATTGAGAGAAGAGTCAGCATAAATTTATATTACTTGTGTACATGATGACTGCCCTCTTTCTTCTAATATTTATTATTTGACTGTGATGACAGTCAATAAATGTGGCATAGTTTAAAGCAGTATTGCGATTATTCCACTGGAATAGATATAATAATCTTGATGACTTAGAGTCTGGCATTATGCTCATAATTAAACAAAAATAAAGCTTGTTTTGAGTCTAACACGTTTGATTAACTTTGACCATTTCTAACTAATATTGTTAGATTCTTATTGCTAATTAGAATTTATAATAATATTCGCGGATAAGACGAAGATTTAGACAACATTAAGAATAAAAGGATCAATTACAATGCAATTAGAAGGCAAATGCTTGTGCTCGAGAAAACAATTGAGTATGAAATGGAATTAATTCAAGCACCGCTTGCATGACCAATTCCAATCATTATCATATTAAAAATGGCGAATGTGAAATATGATAAGGCGACGAACAGTAGGCTGATCGAAGCGGTCGGAGACGTGGCCAAATTGCAACACAAATTATTCTTATTTGTTTGGTGATGCCGATTGAATTAAGGCGAAGAGTTCTTCTCAGCAAAGGTGCGATTTAGAGACGAATGATGCGCCCCCACTACGAGGTTGCTGAAGCTGATGCAGTAGTTTAGTGTTCTTGGAACAGAGGATCACAGCTCGTTCGTCTTAGAGCAGTCCTCTCGTAAACCTAACTGAGCCCTACTTATGCATTTGGAATCGAGAGATGGAGCTCACCAGGTCAGAGGATGGCCACTTCTTGCACTCTGGTGGCTTCCATTCTCTTGATCATGATTTCGTTTGTGTCTGCCATGGAGGGCGGACACGCTGACGTCGAGAGGAACCATTCCATGGAGCTTCATCCACGGGCATGGAGTCGCTTCCTTGCTCAGGGTGGGAACAAGGGCGGTCCTTGCGTTCCGGGTAAGGCAAATGCATGTTCGGGTATCCCTGCTAACTACGGCACGCAGCTCCTCCACTGCTGCCAGAAGCGGTGCTGCGACGTGCTCAACGACAACGCTAACTGCGGGACCTGCAACAAGAGGTGCGGGTCTGCGCAGTCGTGCTGCCATGGCAAGTGTGCCGCGACGGCCAACGACCCTCGGAACTGCGGGGCGTGCGGCAACAAGTGCGGCTCCGGGCAGCTGTGCTGCAGTGGAAAGTGTGCCGTGGTGAGCTCCGACCAGCACAACTGTGGGGCGTGCAGCAAGAGGTGCGGGTCCGGGCAAGTGTGCTGCGAGGGCAAGTGCATCACGACGGCCTCGGACAATAAGAACTGCGGTGCGCGCGGCAAGAGTTGCAGCAGAGCAGGGCAAGTCTGCTGCAATGGCAAGTGCACCTTGGTGGCCTCCGACGCCCAAAACTGCGGGGCGTGCGGCAATCGCTGCGGCTCGGGGCAATCGTGCTGCAACGGCAGCTGCACCGCTGTCACCAACGACGCCAACAACTGCGGCGCCTGCGGCAAGCGGTGCGGATCCGGGCATCTGTGCTGCGGCGGCAAGTGTGCCGCCGCCGGTTCCCAGAACTGCGGGGCGTGCGGCAACAGGTGCTCGGCGGGGCAGTCGTGCTGCAACGGCAGCTGCACCACTGTCACCAACGACGCTAAGAACTGCGGCGCCTGCGGCAAGAGGTGCGGATCCGGGCAGCTGTGCTGCGGCGGCAAGTGTGCCGCCGCCGATTCCCAGAACTGCGGGGCGTGCGGCCGCAGGTGCGGCTACTGGCAGCTCTGCTGCCAGGGCACGTGCACCAACGTGGCCAGCGACGACCGCAACTGCGGCCAGTGCGGCAAGGTTTGCAGGAACAACGACAGGTGCGAGTACGGCATCTGTGGGTATGCTTGATCTTTGTCGAATTGCGTGGGCAGGGAGGATTGCAAGCGAGCTGTTTGTTGAATTGTTTCCATTAACTTGCCTTCTGCGGAAGTGCTTCTTCTTCGAGAATACGGTGGTCTCATAGCATGAGGTCAAGGCACTCAAAGATTACAGTTTCAATCGAATACTGGTTATCGTAAGAAACGGGTGAAGTGCTTCTTCTTCGGTTTGAATCTAAGACCGGAGAAAGCGAAAGGTCGAGAGGACCCATAGTCGCGTCTTGTACCGTGACTCCTTTCGTTCCGTTCCTCCCCCTATAAACTGATTCACACGTTTCCTCGTCATCAAACCACGAATTGGGGCCCACTGGCACCGCCCCCACGAATGCTATTGGAACGAAAGCATCGATCAGTTATATTCTGATGGATATCCTTTACGGGGGCTTAATAAGCAGAATTATATATATATATATATATATATATATATATATATATATATATATATATATATATAGTGGTGACAAGT